TTAAAATGGATACTGCATGAACTTATTTCACCTGTGTGCCACTAACTTGTGTTCTCAATACACCATCATGCCCCGGCAGTTCTGTGGGCAAATTTGATCGGAGCCTCAAATATATGTGGTACGTCATGCAAGAAAGAACAAAATGGGATCTAAGGGTACACAAAAGTAGCTATTTTGCACAATTTAGAGCTATGCCCCCCACAAAATTGTTTCCCCAATTTTTTTTGATGTTTTAACATAAAACAGGAAAGTCTGAAAATACACTTGAGACATGCACTTCTGATTTCAAAAGAAACTAAAAAAAAAAAACCCTCAAAGCAATCTTCTTCATCTTGAGAGCCAACACAGCTAATCTGGAATGATACATGCGTATAAACCATCAGGAATTAAGACCCTTTACCTCTGCGTCCTTCCCAGTTGAAACAAATGAAAGAGCTGCAAGAAACGGGAGGGAAGAGGAAGAAGTTGCCAAGTGTCAGCACATGCTCCAACAGCTAGGACGCAGGCTTTGCATTTTGCAGAAGTGACATCACTGGGGCAGAATCAGTCAAGAGTCAGCAAGCCTGGCTTCTGTCCTTGCGCTTTCAAAGTTTATAATGATCTACCTACAAAAAATACTTATGCATGCAAGGACATATGCTCAAGGATGTACCATCATTCACCAATGTGAAAAACCTAAATGTCAACAGAGGCCTGATGGGAAAACTATGCAGTTGTTAAGAAGAATCATATGTATTAACATGGAATGTTAAGAAAAGTGCCTTTTATTTTCCTCTGTCTGCATACAAAAGAGTCTAGAAGGATGTACCAAAGTTGGGGGTAAAGCAGGCACTGAGATGATGTTTGTACCTGACACATTTCTTTGTGGCAGGCTTTCTTTTTTTTAAAGTGAGCACAAGTTGTTTTGAAATTTTACAAAGTTTAAACTTGGCAAAAAAACTCCACATCAGTTGTTCCAGGATTATTCTACTGAACCAAGACGTCAGGGCAAGAATTTTTCCTTCCGTTGTTTCCCCCTCCTCCATCCCTTTTCCAACATTTCTTGAATACCTCCTAAGTGCTTGCTGGGAGAGGCAGACACAAAAAGCACCTAAATCCATCATGCCAGCTGCAGGCACAAACTTTCTGTACACAGACACACTCAGGTTAGGAAATTATCTTGTAAGGAAAAAGAGTGTAATCTCTCTGAGCTCACACATTCCAAGGCAAAAATCACACTTTGGAAACAAAAATAACATCCCAACCAAGTAAGCCAAGTTAAGAAACTATTATCCGAAAATGGGATAAAACATACGAATCAGAAGACCCTGAGACTTCAAGGGCACAGATCACCTGTGTCCTAATCCTACCCAAAAAACACAATAAGAGCAAAAGACTAACGTTTCAAAACTGGTTAAATACCAATGTGGTGATGGAGGCGGGGGCGGTCAGGTAACAACAGGCAGTGGTAGTAGCTGGGATCCAATTACTCTTCAAAGCACCCTGCCCTTGTCCTAAAATGCCACCCTATCCTAAAATACACTGAAAACAAAACTAGCATAGAAATGACAAACCTTAGCCCAGCACGCGCAGCAAAAGGCCTTTTCTTTACAAAAGGAAGTTAAAAGGGGCCTCAGGCTAAAAGTAGAAAGAAAGAGGCACAACCTGGTACTAACCCCAGACAAAGAAATCTGGGAAGCTCGGGCCCTCAGGGGGCAGAGAACCTGAGATGACTTAGAGAAGATAAAGCAGCTTCCCAAAGAAGCGGTATCAAGGTGACGGCGGGGTTTCCCACGACCTCAGAGAAGCAGGTTAGCCCAGCCAACATTCACTCTGGAGAATAAGCGTTTTCATCCTTTATCCAGTCCTTCCCCCAAAGTGCTGTCAGGAGAAACCTGAACCGTCCTGCAGCAGAGATGTGAGAAAAGCGGAGAGGAGACAGCTCCTAACACGTTCCCGACGCGAGGGAGAGGTTTTTTGGAAAGCGGCCCGGGGGCTGGGGAAGTGGGCGTACAGGCGGGGGCGGCGCTGGAGGAGAAGGAAAGAGGGCGACGGAAGGGGCGACAAGAGGAAGGGGCGCAGGGACGAGGGGGTGGCGGGATGAAAAAGAAAAGAGTGAGAAACGAAACAGGGAGTGTCAAGGGAGGAAGAGGACTGAGCCCGGCAGTGGGGTTTGGGGACCAAGTGGGCGGTGGGGTGGGAGAGAGGCCAGCGCAGGAAGAGAAACAAAAGTTGGCAGGGACGAGGAGCCAGGTTCGAGGGACGCAAGGGTGGAAAGGCACGAAGTTAGGAAGGGAGACGCCAGGAAAGTGAAATTTTTGAGCCCAGTGCTCCGGAACCGGCGGAGTCCAGGCGGCCGGAGAGCGACGTGCCAGCCAGAGGTGTGCAGGGGCGCTGCAAGGCGGCGGCCGAGGGGTCCTGTGTGCGGCGGCGGGCAAAGCGGAAGTTTCCCGGTGCCGGTGGCAGCGATCCCCGGACGACCCCCACCCCCGGCCCGGCGCAGCCCCGCACTTACCGGGCCAGGGCAGCGAGGACGACGAGGACTAGGCGGCGGCGCGGCCCCGGCCCTCCGGCCCCCGCCCGCGCCCCAGCTTGCGGCCGGCACCGCCCATTGGCTGTAGAGCCACGGGACCGCGTCCGTCTCGGCCAATGAGCGCCGAGCAGCGTCGTTTGGAAACTTTTTTCCCCAGGCCGGGTGCGGCGCGTCCGCGAGGCGGTGGCTCCTGGCTGGAGTTGGCCTGGGAGGTTCCCGCGGCTGGCCAACCTTGGAGATGCTGCAGGCCTCCAGCGCCGCCCCCGCCCCCGCCACCCTTGCGTCCCTCTCCCTGGCCACCCAGGAAAAGGGCTTGGACTTAATGGGCCACGCACTTCAGGAAAATAAAAAGTAAAATAATTTCAAGTGTTAAGTGCTATGAATAAAGCAAGCTCATGTAACAGAAGAGTTGAGGAGGGGTCACTTTAGATAGAACAGTCGGAGAAAGCCATTTAAAGGAGGTGACCATGAAGCTGGGCCCCAATGATAAGAACCACAGGAAGGCAATCTTGTTGTTGCCATTTTAAAGATGAGAAACAAAGGTGCAGGAAATTAAATGAGTTGCCCAAGGCCTTACAATTAGTAAATAACAGATCTGGCTCTAAAGCTGGCTCTGACTCCTACCTCTGCTTCTGTGCTAGAAGTGAAGAAATCTTAGCTCCTCCAAGGACTTCCACCCCACTCATAGCTTCCTTATCTTGGTTAGAACAGCCTTTCTCTAATTTTACTTTGACACCTTGCTAAATTCTAAAAAAGCTCAGATACACAACCCCACCACCTACATCAACATGGTTAACGAAAGTAGCAAAATGTCTTTCAGGAAACTTCCATTTGGTCCCTAACACTAATAAATCGTTTGCATCCTGTTTGGCTGAATGCTTTCACCATCAGAATTGTATTTAATCCTCACCACTCTGTGAGGGTTGTAAGCAGGGTATAGTCACTTCAGCGTACAGGTAAACTGAAGCACAAACTGATGAGGTATTGGCCCTGCCTAAATGGCATGGATCTAGTCATTTAAACTAGGTGGCTCTCAGTTTCCCCAATTTTTCATAGGGAAAAAGGGGGAGGGCATTGAAACGATAATCACTAAAGTCATATCCAGGAACAAAAGTTTAGGGAAATGAGTTTTTCACTGGTGTAAGGACATTCTGGTGAACTTTAAAACTTTTAAAATTTGTTTCCCTTGTGTCTTTGGGATATGACTGATCCCAGAGCTCAATTTCTCTTCATTGATCCTTCCAGCATAGTTTATTACTCAAGACACTAAACCTAACATAGGCAGAACAGAAGCTTCTGGGGAGAAACTCCTTTAGTAGTAGCAGCTTGCTTCATTGAGGAGCTGAATTGAATATAAAGTAACTACTTCAATAGCACAAAAATAAATCTTCATAAATGAGAAGGTTATAATTTGGACAAGGAAAAAACTGAAAATTCCTATGCTCTCTGATAAAAGAGTTTTCCCAGCAAGGAAATAGGAATACAATTAACAAAGGCTATAGTACTTAAGCAAACATATCTTCTTAAGAGAAAATTTAAGCACTTTTTCACAAATATCATATTGTATTTTTATTCATAATTGTCTCATTTGAAGGGCTGGTATACTTTGCTTAAGATACTTTAGCACAGAAAGCAATCAGATGACATTTCTTCTAAAAGTATTTGTAATTCAGACTTTTATTAGCCTTCCACTTCCTATGAATGATTTTTTAATAAATCATTGCATTTACCTCTTGAGACTTGGTTCAGTTCTGGACTTGAAAGAATGCCAAGCAAAGTCAAACAAAATGTGTCTGCTCTCTTTTATGTTTTGTGACTTATATTTTTTAAAAGCAATTAAAATCCACAATTATTTTGTTTCCTTTATTTTTTGTATTTTGAGTTCATATGATCTGTGTTCAGAAATATTCAACTACAATAAAAAGGAGAGAAAAAAACCGTCTATAAAGAGTAGTATACTTCTTTGGTACTTTCAGGGGGGAAAAAATTAGAAAAAACAACCAGGGTTTTTTTGTTTGTTTGTTTTGTTTTTCAGACAATCTCACTTTGTTGCCCTCAGCTCACAGCAACCTGAAACTCTTGGGCTTAAGTGATTCTCTTGCCTCCACCTCCCAAGTAGCTGGGACTACAGGTGCTGGCCACAACACCCAGCTATGTTTAGAGACAAGAGTCTTGCTCCGGCTCAAGTTGGTCTGGAACCTGTAAGCTCAGGCAATCCACCCACCTCAACTTCCCAGAGTGCTAGGATTACAGAACCAGGATTTTTTTTTTTATTAGTTACTACTTGGAAAATATTATCCACACAGAGACAATGAAGATTTATTCAGCCATAATAAATACCTAAACAGTTGACGTGTAGTTGTCATGTGCCTTCTGGAAAATTAAATACAGGCACAAGGGATTCTTCACAGCTACATATTTCATCTTGCCCTCCACAACACATGGCTACAAAGATGTGTTAACCCCCACTTCATGCAGATCCCCTAATGAAATCACCTCATAGTGGAGATTTGGGGTGGGGAGGATGTTCTCGTTTGGCAATTTCTACTGATTCTTTTGCAAAGTTGTTTCTTGGCAGAATTTAAAAATGCTTTAAGTGGTATTCAGATATCACAGTTTAAACTGTCTAGCTTTGATAACACACGCTTTTTCTACTAATTTGCAACAGAAAATAGTGACACCTGGCAGTTTCAGAAATCATCGTTTTTGCTTTCTGAGCCTTAAAATTTTTTTTCAGGGAAAAGACTGTAATGCACTATTTTTAAAAAGCAAAACAAATGGCATATCTACCCACCTAAAACACAGGGTCTTTGGCTTCACAAAAGTTTTTGTAACTAATAGGTCTCCTCCGCTTTGCTTGCCCTACCTGTCACTGGAAAAGTTGTATTCATTTGTAACGAGCTCTGGACCAAGGTTTTTAAAAACAGCATTTTCTTACTAAAATCGCAAAGGAGCTCTTGATCGTTGTGGCACATCCGGTTTAGTCTTCGCACACTACTTTTGCCAGCCGGGTCTCAACTTCTCGAGAGGCTCAAGGGGCCTCGCAGGAAGCCCAGTTGGCAATTCCTTTTTTCTCCACTTGCCACTAGGTTGCACTAGATTAAGGATTCTGTGGATATGCACCATTTCATTTTTTTTAAAGCAGACTATCACGTGACGAGACAAGAGCGAGGGAAAAAAGCCGGGGTTGGCTTTTTCATTGAAATCCTGTTTAAATCACCTTGCTTCAAAAGAGCGAAAGAGTTAACTTGCATTAAATTTCGGTTGACAGGTTTTTCCTCGGGTCCACCGCACAATCTCCCTTATTCTCCGCTTTGAGGTTCCCTTCGACTCCACAACGTTAAGCCAGGGAGAAGGCCTCCTTAAACTAGAGGTTTCAGCCAAAAAAGCCAGAATCACCCCCCGGGAAAGTCCCTATTTAAGGGTTTATCGGGAGGGGACTGAGCCTGACGAGGCTGCAGGGCCGCGAGGCCCCGCCCCCCCCGAGGTTCCCAGCATGCCCCGCGCGGGGAGGACCCGGCGGCGGAGGCGGGGCAAGGAAGGGGTGGGGGTAAGGGCCCAGAAGGGCGTCGGTTTTGCGACAGGGGCTGTGGAGTCGGGAATCAAAACAAAGGGCCTGGGGGGGCGGGGGGAAGGCGGCGGGGCCGGAATGTGAGCAGAGGTGGAGCCGGCGGCTGAGGTGAGTTTGCTGTCAGCGCTGGGACTAGACCCTGACTGACCCTTCTGCTGTAGGGCCACAGGAGCTGGACGGAGGGCACAGTGCCCCCCCTTCCTCCTCCTATTGCTGTGGTTAGTGTGTGTATAGGGGGAAGAGGTTGGTTAGTTCGAGGGAAAAGACTGGGACCCGCCTTTCGGGCCCCCAGAAGAGAGTTGGCTGTGACCTTTTCAGGTCTGTTCACCACTGTTACTGTTGCCCCGCCTTCCCCTTTGGGGGTATTTGGCTCCCGGCCCGCACCTGTCTGCTCTGTATGGGGCCGTCCTGGAGTGGGGAGCAACCTTTCCAGGGCGGTGTGCACAGTTGTATGGTTAAGAGAGAGAGAGGGGCGTGTGTTTTTGGACCCCCCACCCCCACCCCTGAGCGTTTTGCATTTTCCTTGGTCTTTAGTAGCTTAGAGTGTTCGTTAGGCTTGAGTGATTATGTTGAGCTGCCTTAGGACCTCAGCTACTCTAGTTGCTAATTGTAAAGCGACTCGTGGTAACACCTTGTAGGGTTTCCCAAACATCTTTCTGGTATTACGGAGCGCTTTCCAGTTACATTTATCTTTTTGACTTAACATCTTTAGCAGTAAATATTTTGCTTTGCACACAGGGAAATTAAAACCTAAACAGTCTTTCTAGACATTTATTGGGCTCTTTATTCGTTCAATAATTACTTATCGATGTATGCCAGGTACTGTGCTAAATGCAGGAAATACAATAGTGAATAAGAAAACATAGTTCTTGCGGTTGTATAGTTTATATTCTAGAAGGGAAGAAATATAATAAAATAATGAGCAAATAAAGAAGATAGATAAGAAGAGTGGTGGTGAGGGAAAGATAACCGGATAGGATTGTGTGAGGTGATGGGATTGTATGAGGTGGAGAACCAGATTGCCCTGGGAGAACCAGGGTGCTATGGAAAGGCCATTTGCTAAACATTCCAAGTAGATTATCTCAGGTAATCTAAACAACAATCCTTTGAGAGGCTATGATTATTAATAGACACATTTTGGAGATGGGATTTGAGATTTCAGAGAGTTTTTGAGTTTTCCAAAGTTTCACAAACAGGAAGTAGTAGAATGGGGGACTAATACACACACAGTCTGATGTCAAAGCCTGTGCTTTCAACCACCAGGTGAGTTATTCAAAGACTCTGAGAGATAGTGGCAGAAAGGAGACACCCACTGAAATGAAACAACCTACTTTGACTACTTAAGTTGCTTAGTAGCATTCCCAGGAGTATTTGGGAAAATTCCAGGGTTCAGGTCACTAACAAGTTTCTAGTTATAATTGCTTGTGCTGAGTATTATTGAAGGCACGTTGGTGTGGTGGAAAGGGGTAAACAAGCCTAGTTTTGCCCCTCTTCTGATAGTGTCATCTCAGTCTGGCTACCACATTTCATTAAGCTTCTGTAAAATGTGGCTAATTTCTTCCCCTTTTCCTCACAAAATTATTAGTGGTTCCCATCTGGGTTTTTTCATCATTGTATGTATCCCTTGTACCAATCACAGGCCTGCTATGAAGTAGATATTAAGTAAATTGCTGAAACGTAGTAGATATTAAGTAAATTGCCGAGGAAATAAATGAAAATGCTTTATGAAGTACACTATAAATGTCAGCTCCCTTTCAGAATTTAGCTTTGAAGAATTTTGAGAGAGCATATTAAAATTGTGTACAGCATGAATATCATACATTCATATGACTTAGAGAGGAGCTTGTTAGGGTACCTAAGACCTGGATATAATAGGAAAAACAAGTATCATAACTTAGTATTGGGTGTTAGTTAACTCTATGTCTCTACATTTAACCACTCAACAATGTGTAGTAGATAAATGGTGCGCTTTATTAAGTAATTTCCCTCAATCAGCAAATATTTACTTTGTATCAACTATGTAGCAGGCCCTGTGTTTGGCTCAGGAATTACAATAATGACAATAGCTATAAAATTTTTTTGTTCTTGGTAGTGCAGTAAGAGGTAGACAGGGGAGAAATTAGCCACATTTTACAGAGGAGGAACTTTTGTAGCTCTGAAAAAGGGCCAAATAAAATACTTTAGACTTTGGGCTATACAGTCTCTGTTGCAGATGGCTATGTTCCAAATAAAACTTTATTTATGGACAGCTAAATTTGAATTTCATGTAGTTTTATATGCCACAAAGTAGTATTCTTTTGGGTTTTTTTCAAGAATTAAAAAATAGGGCCTCTTTGCTTACTTGCCCTGGTAATGGAGGCCTCTTCATTATCTATATTCTGCTTTGTAAGCTTTCTTACTCTATAAACCTATTTTTCTCTTCCTCAGTAAACTTTGTTTCATTCTTGCCTTTAAAAAAAAAATTAAAAATGGGCATAGTGTGATGGCTCATATCTATAATCCCGGCACTTTTGGAGGCAGAGGTGGGAGACTGGCTTCTGGCCAGGAGCCCAAGACCAGCCTGAGCAACTTAGTGATACCTCTTTTGTATTAAAAAATACAAAAATTAGGCGGCACCTGTATCTCAGTGGGTAGGATGCTGGCCACATACACCCAAGCTGGCATGTTCAAATCTAGCCTGGGCTAGCTAAACAATGACAACTGCAACAGAAAAATAGCTGGGCTCTGTGGTGGGCACCTATTAGTCCTAGCTACTTGGGAGGCTGAGGCAAGAGAATCACTTAAGCCCAAGAGTTTGAGGTAGCTGTGAGCTATGATGGCATGGCACTCTACCAGGGGCAAGAAAGTGAGATTGTCTCAAAAAAAAAAATACAAAAATTAGCCTGGTGTGGTGACACACACCTGTGTCCTAGCTACTCAGGAGGCTGAGGCAGGAGAAGCACTTGAGTCCAGGAGTTTGAGGTTACAGTGAGCTATGATGATGCCATTATATTTTAGCCTAGGCAACAAAGCAAGACCCTGTCTCAAAAAAAAAAATGTTGTAAAATACAGTCTTAGTTCACAGGCCATTCACATATAGGCACTGGGCTGCGTTTGGCTGGCAAGCATGGTTTGCACTGCTCTATGCGATCACTTCTCATGTACTTCACATATAATATTTGTATAATCAGCTCTTCACTCTCCCTACGACGTAGATATTAAAATCTCTTGAAAAGAGCATCTTATCAGAAATACAACTAAACGGATTTTTTCCTATATGCTCAGATGAAATTTCTGAGAGCTAAAGAAAATAATCACCTTAAAATGGCCACTATAGGTCAGAAGTGGTTGTTGGAATATTGTGGTAAGGACTTGGAAATGAGGTTCATTTGTTTTCTCTGGTTTTTTTTTTTTTTTTTTTGGAGACAGAGTTTTGCTCTGTCACCTTAGAAAGAGTGAAATGGTGTCATCACAGCTCACTCCAACCTTAAATTCCTCAAGTGATCCTCTTGCCTCAGCTCAAGTACAGGCCTGCAGCTAATTTTTTTTCTATTTTTAGTAGCAACAGGGTCTCACTCTTGCTCAGGCTGGCCTAAAACTCCTGAGCTCAAGCGATGCTCCCACTTCAGCCTCCCAAAATTCTGGGATTATAGGCATAAGCCACTGCACACAACTGATTTGATCTGCCTTTATTGTACTGTTTAAAACTCTTAACTGGAGTAGAGATGGCACATCTGGGACTTGAGATTTCTGTAATAGCTAGATTTTTGGTGGTATATCAGATTGCACTTTCATTATAAATAAACTAAGAAATAGGTCCAGTTTGTTCTGTAGCAGAATCAAATTCAAAGTCCACAGAGGCCACTAAATGTAAACTTCCATGCTCAGATCAAAGACACAGTGGGAGAGATTGCTTTTAAATCAATTTTAAAATCTTACATAATTTGTAATGAGGTTATGCTGATTAGATGCTCTCTTCTTTAACTTGTTGACTCTCTTAAGCAGAGTCTTGAAGGAGAGATAGGTGAGAAGAATTAAGAAAAATATAGAGAAAGTTTAGTTAGGGCCTGAGGAGGTTGACTCCAGACAACGAGGAAGTGAAGTCTCACTCAGGAATATATGTAGGTATCCAAGAGTTGGCTACTTTTCATAAGCATGGCTGTGTAAACAAAAGAAATAGGTCTTATCCAGAGTTTGTTTTTATTTGAAGAGGTATGGAACATGAAGAATGGCAGATTATAAATTTTTAAAAAATGAGATTGATGCAATTATATTTTAAACATAATCAGAATCAATGAGTTCACCAAATTTTAGTAACCTATATTATGCTCTGATATTCTTTTGTTTCGAATCGTTAGCCTTTCTATTCTATGAGTGTTAATATAGTTGAATATTCACATTTTAACATTTTATAAAACTTGTGCTTATACAAAGAAATAACATTGAAGTTTTATTCATTCTTAACAGGGTGGAAGTATGAAAGAAAAGAAAGATGAAAGAATGTTGAATCACTTTGTATGGCTGTATGATGGAAGGAAACGGAACTGAGAACTCCTGCAGTAGAACACTTGGATGGCTTCGACAAGATAATGATGCTAAGCCATGGCTTTGGAAATTCTCTAATTGCTTTTCTCGTCCTGAGCAGACATTGCCACATAGTCCCCAAACGGTAACTTTGTGCAAGATTAAGGGCATAGTAAATTAATTGTCAAAGTAGTTGAGAGGTCCATTTAGTCTGGGAGATAATCTCTCTTCCTGCAGTCTGTGCTAAGTTTCCCCGTATATCCTACTTGTATTGCCCATTATTATGGTTCTTGCCTCAATGAGAGCATAGTTATTTAACTCCTGTATTCCACTCTGAGTAACAGTAGATCCTTTACATATTTAATGTTAAAATTTTGAAAATATTAATTTCTTATTAAAGTCACCGATTCCAAAGATTAAAAAAAAAATCCACATTGTCTAGTAAAATCAGAGGAAAGTGCAAAATAAGTTTTATTTTATTGTAGCCTTCTGAGGTTTGAGTCTTAAAATCTAGGGAAGACTAACAAGAGCTTATTGACAGCCTTTTTTTTTTTATATGTGAGATTTCTCTTGAGTGTTTGTATCTCTGACTTTATCTTTTCATTGTGATTTTGACATTTTCTGATTTCATTTCATACATTCGCATCACTACCTTTCTTTTTATCTATCATACTTGGGATTCAAATGAAACTTAATGATAATTTTTATATACAGATATTAATAACTTTTTAAAAATTATCTTCTATAGGTTTTCACAATATAGTTTTTGTTGTAAGGCATCAAGTAATTTGGGTGACTTCGGGAAAGTTTTACTTTAGGGACAATTGACAATGAGAGTTGGTTATCTCCAGCATAGCTTCCCCAAATGGGATGGTGTATCTGGTCCTTGTGAAGTCACACAATTCAGAATTACTCTCAACTTTACAGATCCAAAAACTTGATTTTGTCAGTGGCGTGCAGAGTGGAGTGGGTTTGGGCTACCAGCTCACAATAACTTTCC